CTGCCTGGGCCGGTCCTCGCCCCTCAGTGGCCGGCTGCACTCCCGGCTCACTGGGCAGGTCTGGGAGGCCAGGACGGGGGCGAGGGAAGCTGAATTCGGAGTCCCGCTCACTGCCTGTGTTCTGGCTGCCGAGGGGAGCGGGATCCCTGGGTCCGGCGTCCCAGGGCAGGTGGGAGTGAGCGGAGGGGCAGAGGGGAGGTGCTGGGGGGTTGGCCTTTGAATTCGGAGTCCCGCTCACTGCCTGTGTTCTGGCTGCCGAGGGGAGCGGGATCCCTGGGTCCGGCGTCCCAGGGCAGGTGGGAGTGAGCGGAGGGGCAGAGGCGAGATGCTGCGGATTCGCCTTTGAGAGTGGCTGAGAGCTCGGGGGAGAGCAGGGCCCGTCGCTCCATTCCCAGGGCAGGGAGGCCGGGTTTCAGAGGGGCTCTGCGGGCGGCTGGCTCTGAACAGCTCTTTCCAGGCACAGCCAGAGGCTCCCGGGCCTGCTGCTGGGGAGGGGGCTGCACGTCCGGGAGGGCCTGGGCCCCCGTGACTGAGGTGGTCAGGCGGTGCCGCGGCCAGTGATGCCTTCGGACTGGTTCCCGTTTGCTTGGTGCCATCTCGCGGGGTTAGATGGCACCTTTGGGTTTTCCTCCTGGGGAATATCAGACCTGTGGGAAAGGTCCAACCTCACATGTCCTGTATGTACGGAAGGGGATATATGTGGTCAGACCTGTCCCACAGGCCCTGTATTCTTACACAAGCGCAGAGACCTTAACATGCCATCTGACCGTCATCGCCATCCTCCCGATTCGCCATCGCCTCAGGCCCCGGCATCCTCACTGCCAGCTCCTTCCTCCTCCGTCTGGAGACCCAAGAGCCGGCCGGGCTGCCCGCGCTCTGGCCGGCCGCCTGGCTGGCCAGGACTGGCTTCCTTTGTTGGTGCAGCCACTTGCTCTCCAACCCATGAGCTAGACTAGCCGCCTCCCTCCTCGTCCGGCCGGCTGGGAACAGAGCCCGTCTCCGCTGGGCAGGCAGGCTCTGGCCGGTGTGGGTCACGCGTGGCTCACGCCAGGGCACTGCTCTGGCCCCGTGTCTGGCGCCGTTCTCCGGGCACAGAGCTTGCTAGGAACGCGAGGAGGCTGCGCTCTGGGGCGGGCGAAGGCTGAGTTTTCACGGGGGGGTTTTACTCAGCCTTCCTATGGCAGGAGGTTTGTGCTGGAGAGAATCCGAGCATGTTTATCCCTGCGCGTGTTACCGACAGAACCTCTGTGTGGCTGGGTTCACGAG